TGTTTGATCTTGTCAAGAGAAGTTCTAATAGTGTGTAGATTTAGGAAGGTTCTTAAGATAGTTGAAGAGAGAATGGGAAATGAGGATGTGGAAATTCTAAGTCCAAACAAACTGAGTAGTTTTTTGAGAAGAAGAATGAAGAAATGGAGGAGAATGTGCAGCTAGAAGAGTTTTGTGGGTTTTTTTTTTTTTTTGACTGGGGGTCTCACTCTGTTGCCCAGGCTGGAGGGCAGTGGCACGATCTTGGTTCACTGCAACCTCTGCCTCCAGGGTTCAAGCAATCCTCCCACCTCAGCCTCCTGAGTAGCTAGGCCCACAGTTGCATGCCACCATACCCTGCTAACTTTTGTATTTTTTGAAAAGACTGAGTTTCTTCATGTTGCCCAGGTTGGTCTCGAACGTCTGGGCTCAAGTGATCCACCCGCTTCAGCCTCCCAATGTGCTGGTATTACAGGCATGAGTTACCACACCTGGCCTGTGTTTATTTAAAAAATGGGAGACAGAGTAGTGCATGTTTATACTCCACTGGGAAAGATCCAATGGAGAAGGAAAAAGTGGCACAACATAGAGTGAATAACTGCAGGAATCTTCAATGAGGAAAGAGAGGTTTACTCATGCTGGCCTCGAATGGGAGCAGACTCTTTTTCCATTGTTACAGAAGAAAGGCAGAGAGTATGGAAGAATATGGGTACAGATTGCAGGCAGGATGATAGATCTGATGACATGAAGATGAGACAGCTTCTGATTGCTTCTTCCTTCTTTCCTTCCTTCCTTCCTTCCTTCCTTCCTTCCTTCCTTCCTTCCTTCCTTCCTTCCTTCCTTCCTTCCTTCTTTTTTCTAAGACAGAGTCTTGCTCTGTCACCCAGGCTGGAGTGCAGTGGTACGATCTCGGCTCACTGCAACCTCTGCCTCCTGGGTTCAAGCAATTCTCCTGCCTCTGCCTCCCAAGTAGCTGGGATTACAGGCATGTACCATCACACCCAGCTAAGTTTTGTATTTTTAGTCGAGACGGGGTTTCACCATGTTGGCCAGGCTGGTCTCAAACTCCTAACCTCAAGTGATCCGCCTGCCTCGGCCTCCCAAAGTGCTGGGATTACAGGCGTGAGCCACCGCGCCTGGCCAACTTTCTAATTAAAGAGAGATAAGAGAATTACCAGAGACCTAGAGTTGTGAGTCTAGAGTGAGACCAATCAGAATGTTTGTGCAATTTTCTCCTGCCAAGTTCAAAGCAGATATGAAGCAAGTGAAAAGTTGGATTGGTCAGGATTGGGGTTTTGCCTGCCAAGTATGAAAGAGAGGCAAGGATGCTATGGGTGTTCGCAAGAGACTGCTACGATAATGGGCAATGGGAATTAAGTAGTGAAAGGAGGGAAGTGAGAACATGAGGGGGATAATGGATAATAATAATATAATGGCAAACCCTACATGGTGGTTACTGGGTGGCAGGCACTGGTTTTAGCTTATTACATATAATAACATGTAATCTTATGACTACATTGGACAGTGAAAAAGTGCAATGGTTAGTGAATCAGAAGTCTCCTAGGAAGCCAAAGAATCAATGGGGTGGGAATATTTGAATAAATGAACCTGGAGGCGAAGGAGACAGACAGACTTGGGTGTGTGTAACCGCTGTCATCTGTTATAACTGTGTGACTGCAAGAAAGGCACTTTGCCTCTCTGACTTTCTATGGCATAAGCCAACAATAACCTATGCCTTTCAGTTTTCAGCCAGTTGTGTTTTTGTTACCTGCAACCAAGGGTTCTGACAATTATAATACAATTGTAATTACACAATTATGAGGATAGAGTGCTGGAGTATGTGGCTCACAGTGAATTTCTACAGTCACTAGCTCTCTTCCTTTTCCCCTTCCAGCGATGACCTCCAAAAGCAGCAAATGTCTCTTGTATTATTCCAGGAGCTTGAACTTGTGCTGGTCACAGCAGAGACGTGCTCTGAGGACACAATAGTTCTCCATCACATAAAGGTTAAAACTCAAGTTCCTAAACAAGGACCTTGTCCACACCTGTCCATATTTCCAGTCCAATATCTTGACCTTCCTCCCTCCTCAAACTTTGCCCTCCAGCTACTAGAGGTTCCCAGAAGAGACGACGCAATTCTCCCAACCTCTCACCTCTTGCACATGCTGTTTCCTCTGTCTGGATTTACTAGTTCCAAACTCAAGATGAGCTCTTTCTTCTCCAGAAAACTTCCCTGATTTAACAGCCAGACACAGGTGAGGGTCTCCAGTTCTCACTGAACTTCATAGCACTTCCATTGTAGCAGCTGCCACATTGATAGTAATTGATAGTTTGAGTACCCATCCCACCTAAGGATGATGTGGCAGGTGCCCAGGGTGCATCCCTTCCAACCAAGAACAAGGTGCGTCAGGCCATGGTCCATACTCAGCTCCTCTGATGTCTTCACCTTCACCTCTCTCTTCATAAGCCTTTCACTTCCCTAACAAGCATGCGAGGACTGCCCCCACTTTACTCACCCCTCTCCCGAATACTCTTTGAGCTCATGTAACCAGACTACATCTGCTCACCCTTCAAGACTCTGTCTAGTCTCCACCTCCTCTATGCAGCTTTTCCTGCCCAACCCTCTCCACTGCAGGTCCTGTTAGGTATTTCTCCTGTGTTACCCCATCTTCCTGAGTCCCCTATTATAACTCTTGCCATCATCACTTCCCTGTCATGACCCGTTCTCTTATCTGTCTCTAATGATCTATGAGATTCTTGAGAATTGAGAGGTTTGCATTCAAATCTGTGTTCTCCCTGCCTATCACTAGTAGTTATTAAATATTTCTTGAATGAATGACAAGATAGAGATTCTGGCTCTTTGGAATTGAGGGTCAGACTCAGGGTTATGGTGATGCTATTCAGGTTCTAATTCCCATAAAGCCTGGGGTGGGGGCAGCAGGTGCTACCTCCTTTGTAACTTTAAGAGGATAGGGGAAGGTATCTGGGTCATAACTGTAATTGCCACCAGAACCACCTGATGTAGGTGTTATGCCCTATTTAAATAGATGTGGGACCTGAGACTCAGAGAAGTGGAATGCCTGCAGTAGGTCCTACAGCTGGAAAATACCTCAAGCCTATTTCAAGGTTCTTACAGAATTTCTGCAAAACGGAAGGTGGTAAAGAGTTGCCCTGTGTGCTTTGAGACAGGTTCTTTGCACCTGTTCTCTTATGTCTCTAGTGATCTGTGAGATCCTTGAGCTGTCAAACACCTACCTTAGACATGCATTTCCACAAGGCCTGTCCCTTTGTTTTCCTAGCTATGGCATTATTTCTGTCTCACTTCCAGAGCCCTGCAACTCAATCACACCACATAGACCATGACTACTCTTTAGCTAACTTAATTCTGGGACTGCTCAGTGGAGGTTATCACATAATGACTATTGATGAAAAGAGTTAAACTTTGTAAAATATTTTAAGAAATTTATTCTGAGCCAAATATGAGTGACCATGGTCCGTGACACAGCCCTTAGGAGGTCCTGAGAACATGTGCCCAAGGTGGCCGGGGTACAGCTTAGTTTTATATATTTTAAGAAGGCATGAAACATCAATCAAATACATTTAAGAAATACATTGGTTTGGTTCAGAAAAGCGGGACAACTTAATGCGGGGGCTTCAAGGCTATAGGTACATTTAAACATCTTTTGGTTGACAATTGGTTGAGTTTATCTGAAAACCTGGGATCACTGGAAAGGAACGTTCAGGTTAAGGTAAAGGATTGTGGACCAAGTTTTATTGTGCAGAGGAATCTTTTAGATAGCAGCGTTTAGAGAGAGCAGGTTGTAAAATGTTCCTTACCAGATTAAAAGGATGCCTGGTTCTTAGTTGGTTATCTCCCGGGTGTGGGAAGGAAGGAAAACAAAGGAGAAAGGGGATATAGAACGTGGATTTTTCCCACAAGAGACTTTGCAGGGCAATTTTAAGGTATGGCAATGAAATATCATTTGGGGTAAAACATTTTGATTTTCTTCCTTGTTATGCCAGAGTCCGATTGGAAAGTAAGTCATGATATACACGGTCAAAACCCATCTGATGAGAATTTATGGTTTTTGTAGGCCATGACTCCCCAGACCCCTTAGATAGGAATTTGGGCAAGACAAAAAATCGGAGCTTAGTCTTCATGATCAACCCCACATGCCAGGCCTTGTGGTAGGCACCTAACATTCATTCAGTAACTACAGTAACTCTGTCCATTGTGTTCGGAGCAAGCTAAAAAGGCTGAATTGCTGGGGAAATGGAAAGAAGCCAGCACTAGGGGACTGGGTTCAAGTCTGGAAGGAAGGAGGGGTTGTTTAGCCCTAACTTTGCACTAAAGTAACCTTGGCTGAGTAATTTAGCCATCTAAGAAAACGAGGCGATAGACACCCCAGATGATCTCTGAGCTCCCTTGAAGATATCTGTATGAAAGATTCTCTCCTTTCCATGTCCCTTCCGTGCCACTATTCCGAGCATCAGCCTGATCCTAGGAGTGGTGACGTCCTGCTCAGCCGGGGGCTGCTCCTCAGTTCCCATAGAGGCAAGTCCGGGTCCTGACTTGGCCAATGGCCCTGGAGGCCGCTGAGCTCCCCAGGCCCACAGCCCAGAGAAGTGGGCGATAGGTCATTCCAGGACAAGGGGGCGGAGGCTCCAAGAAACTACGACTCCCAGGAGGCCACTGGGTGCCATCCGGCAGCTTGGGCCTGGTGCATGTTGGGAGCTGTAAGCAGCCTCCCGCCGCGCTTCATTGTTAAGACCGCTAGGCCAGGTACCCCGCGCGCATGCCCAGTCACGTCCCAACTAATTGGGCTTCTTTCCTTCCTGCAGGCCTCTTCTCTTTCCGGTCTTGCTGAGGCGCTCCTTTCCCCGCCCCGCCTCCGCCCTCTTTTCAGGGAATTTCGAAGGGGCGTGGCCTCCGGCAAGCGCGTCCCCAGGGGTGTGTATACGCGCGTTCACGGGAGGTTAAAGAGGGAGGGGACTAAACCTTGGGTGTGGGAGGCAGAGAGAAGACCGCGGGGAACGGAAAGCGCATGCGTCCTAGTGGTGCTGCAGCGCCCGGGGAGCCGCGGAGGGAAGGGGGGGAAAACGGGCGAGGGGGACTGACGCACGCGCACTGGGACACCAGATCCCCGCCTCCTGCTCCAGGTTTCCCCTCCTCCTTCACCACCCTCCCGGAAGTGGACCCGCCCTCGCGCCCACCAGCGGCCACCCGCCTGCGACAGGCCCCGCCCACAAGGCTCCGCCCCTCCGGCTCTCCGCCCCCTCCTCTGGTAGTGGCGCCGGCTTGCATCCCGGTCGTGGCGGTTTTGGTGCCTGAAGCAGGGAGCGCGGAGTCGTTCCCGAGAGAGGAGGCCAGGCTATGCTCGCCGGTTTCCGGCGTTCCGCTCCGGCCAGCCAGAGTCTCTGTCTCAACCTGTGTCCGTGCCCCAGCAGTCTCCTCAGCCCGGCCCCGCGGCGCGATTGGCGGCGGCGCCCCAGGCGCGCCCCCTCCTCCGATGGCGGCGGAGATCCAGCCCAAGCCTCTGACCCGCAAGCCGATCTTGCTGCAGCGGATGGAGGGGTCCCAGGAGGTGGTGAATATGGCCGTGATCGTGCCCAAAGAGGAGGGCGTCATCAGCGTCTCGGAGGACAGGTATGGACTGCTGCCCTTCTGCCGCGAGGAGGGGCGGGACGGGCCGACGGTCCCCGAGCCCGCGTCAGGGGCTGTGCCTCCGCGTTGGCGCGAGTGTAGACTTGCTCCCCCAAGTTTTACTGTAATGCGCCTCTTGGCGGTGCCGGTGTCCAGCTGCGCGCAGCCTCCGCTGCGTGGCTCCGGGAGCTGGGACGGCGGAGTGCGCTCCGGCTTCACCCTTGCGGGAGCCAGGTGGCCCTCGGGGTAACGGTGCGCCGGCGGGACTTTGGTCCATCCCTGAGGACAGGAGGGAAAAAGGGAGAAGCCGCCGGGCCCTGCAGGTGTGTGCTTGGGAAACGATGCCCTGAGCCTCCTCTGCAAGATAACCAAGGGGTTGGGGTACTCTGCTACAGCTCCCAGGGTTTCAAACGGAGAAAGCAAATGCCACTCCCTTCTCCCAGACATTCCCACCGAATCCAGATAGCCCAGACATCTTAGGCTGAATTCAGTGAATATTCTAAGTTGTGCCAAGAGTAAGTTTAGGCTTCTGTGTGGTGCCTTCTCTCCTTTCCCCTCCTTATCTCTTGGAACTCAAGGAGAAACACGTAGAACTTGTAACGGATCACTGCTGCAAATAGCTCTTGAGTTCCTTCCCTTTGCCTGTTTCCTTTATTTTTACTTAATTTTGCTTAATTTGCAGAAGTGGAACTAGTTGTTCTGCCTTCACATATTCTCCCTGTTTTGCGTTTTCGCTTTAACTGAGTGTCCTTTAATAATTGCAGAAATAAAGCTGATGAAGCTAATTTCTAGAGGAATGTTGCTTGAAGATAGTGTTATGATAATTTGTCTGGAATTGTTTCTCTGCTAAAATCCATATAAGCATTCTTAAAAAAGAACACTGTAGAGGTACATAACACAGGGGTTTTACAGTAGGTAGGTTTTCTTAATTTAAGTTCAAATCATGCAGAGGTAAAGTGTCCTTTCTTGGTGACTCTCAAAATTGAGAGGCTAAGCAACAAAGTGCTCATTGCTGTCTTTATAGTCGTTTCAGCACTTTGCATAGTGTGTAGCCTCAAAAATTGAGCTTGATAGGTTTGTTCATGTCTTATTCAGTGTAATTAGGATAAGTATATTAATGACATATTCTTGTCTACATCATGCTCGATACAAATGGCGCCTGATTAATTTCCAATGCAGATCCAATGGAAAACATTGTAAACATACACCAGCAAGCATTCTGCAATGAACAGAAGAAATTCATGGCTGAAATGGAGTACATGGATGTAGGACCCTTTTGAAATTCGCAGAGAAGCTTTACAAGAAAGTTTGATTTTTTTCCATAAAGGCAAAATTTTATTAAAAAGACTGCTTCTGGACCTAGAAATTCTTTGTCACAGTATTGTTTTTATGGGATATATTCCATAAAATATATTGAAGGAATATATTGGTAGATGTCACTTTCCCAGTCTGTAACTACTGGAGATGGAACTAATCAATTTCTAACTGCTGTGGAAAATTCATATGCAAGTTTATGGAATCAAGAAAAGGAGAAAGGTAGTTAAACCTAAGCTCCTTTAATATTTTATTTATTTATTTTTTTAAGACTAGTCAAGTATGGTAGTGAGAAGGGGAGAAGAATAGAACAAGGAGTTCAATCTGTAACTGACTGTGAACAATTGAGATAATAAAACTACCTTTAGACCAGCCTAAGCTCCTTTAATATTAAGTTGTTATTATAGTATTGAAACTTCTGATTCCCATTTCACTACATTTACCTTGAAGTAAACAGCTTTACTGGGGTATATTTTCAAGTGTTTGGAGACGCTGAAGTAGTGTATATGAATGAAACTGAAGAATAAATTTTATTTTATTATAGGATGAAAGAAATGCAATGTTTAGCTATATCTTAGCCTAATTTTCACTTTCCTAGTTTACAGTGTAAATAACAGAAATTATTTTGTCATGGAGTTACTGTTAAATAAGGTTTACCCATAAGCCTGGAATTATTATTAATATACGTTTTTTATTATTCAAGTTGACAAGTCTGCTTCTTTGGGCCATGTACTCAAACATGAACATAACTTTGTTATTTAGAGCTCAGTTTTGGTTATGGTTTTCATTAGAAGAATTGATCTATCTTCTTGCTTTCCAAAATTCAATGTTAATGTCACTTGATATAATGCTAAATATATGAAAATGGAATATTGATTTTCATCACAACTTACAAAGCCATTACCATTCACTGCTTTGGCTAGAAACTAGTAATCTCCATTCCTGAACTCTTAAGGTTAAAGCTGCAAGTAATGTCCCATACCTGAATGGCCGTGTTCCATAAATTCTTATGAAACCCTGGTTTATCTTTTTGACCTTTGACTTTTTCATTGCCTTTATGTGTGCCTTTGAAAACACATAACATTTTCCATTTTAAACAGTGTTATACAGTATATGCTTCATGTCCATTTTATTTTCTCATCTGTGAGTTCCCGAAGGAGCTTTGTGCGTCTTATTCATTGTATCATCATTAGGGCCTGACATGGTACCTGGCATGCAATAGGTCCTTAATACACATTTGTTGTATCAGTGACTGATGTGTTTTGTTGCTGTTCCAGAAAGCACAGCATCTTAACTATTGTAGGCTTTTAGTTGATATTTGTTGAATTAATTATATGATGACCTATGAAAGCCTTACGTGGACAAATATACACTTGGTGGACTTTAGAGTGCTTCGAAACGCCGAAAAGTCCATGAGTTGCTTCATTTATTCTGTCAACAAACATTTGAGTACTTACTGTGTTCCAGTCACATGCGTACATGGTAATGATGAAAATGATAAGATCCTTTCAAGATGCTCACAATTTAGTGGAGGAATTTTAGAAGAACATTGCTTAATAAAAACAAAACTACTACTTCCAAGATTTAGTACCTGAAAGAGAATTTGCAGATGGAGAAGAATGACTGGATTCCACAATCCATGTTGTCCCCTAAATTTTACCTCCCTTTGGAGGATTCTTTCACTCAAACTGCCCTCAATAGTGGCCTGATAATACTCATGTCTTCAAGCCCGAGAGTGGATAAAAACTCTTGCCTTCAAGTTCCTTTTACCTGAGTTCAAACAGTCTTGAACTTTACTCAGTATCAATGGAGGAAATATAAAGGAATAGAAGAAATATAAATACAATCTGATTTACAAATATAGATTTCTGGTGCTACCATAGTACAGAGCCTGTTTCAGAAACTCTCCACCCTTGTCTGAGTCTATCTTTGCCTTAGTTGTAGTTGGGTTATATACCCAAAGGGCACACCAAACTTTGACACTTTGGATACCTCATTTCCCCGGTTCTTTTTGGACTGTCTTTTCTGAGTGAATGCCATTTTAGCATTCCCTGCCTAGGAGCTTCCTTTCAGATATCTCCACTCTGTTTTGGTCAAGACTTATGTTTAGTCTACAGCTTAGCAGGGGCTCCTTTGTTTAGTGGCAGCCTCTTCAAGTGATGAAATCCAGGAGGGACCTCTCTCCTGGTGGGACCCAGTCCCATGCAGACCTTTGTATCTTCATAAGTTCTTTATAAGCATATCAACACAAGTCAGTAATCTTAGCATTCATACAGAGATTTTCAGTAACTGGGTAGTTTCTATTAGGCAATTATGGGAAATCATTCCCTCCCTAGAAGTTAACAACAGGTACAAACATTGTCCTCTGGGGTTGCCAATGAACCTCCTGCTTGTGGTTAGAAAACACCAATAATCTCTTCTACAGATGGGTGTTGCAGGGTGAGTAGGAGTTCTTGTGAAAAAGCCTTTCCTGTGGAGGAAAGGGCATTTTAGATAGAGGAGGCAAGAAAACTCCCATTCATTAAGAAGCACTAGAATGTCCTGATTAAGGGTAGACAACGGAGCCAATTGGCTTGAGTTCAGAACTCAGCACTCAATGTCCTCACATTTTGAGGAATCTGGAAATTAGTGCCTGCAGGAAGAGTGACTCTGATAGCAAAAAGTACTGAACCCGTTGGATGAAAGATTTCAGGGTTCTTTTTCTGGATAAAAAGGCCTGTGTTGGTGGTAGAGTGTGGAGAAGGAGGCTGTGGGAGAGAGAACTATAGGGAAGAAAGGTACTGGCGAGGGCGATATGGGGAACTGTCTTTTTATATTATGACTTTATTCAGGGCCAATTTATACAACATAGTTAGCTGTGTTCTCTCTAAGTCCTGAGGGCAGAGCACAAACAATTGTTAAGAGGGGGGTAAGATTTTTATCCCAATATATAGAAATCTGACCCCCAATGCCTAGCACAAAGGAGATAGGCATTATATGTTCCTTGAATGAATTAAGCAATGACTGGTGATCACTTTTTGAATTGAAATGGACCTGAGGATGTTGTGCGATTCTGTCAGCAAAGGTATTTAAGTTGAGCCTGAGAAGCTGGGGTGACCAACAGTACAATATGGGATGGGAGTGGGAATGGGCTGGAACAAGGGGGTTGGATTTTTTTCTACTTCAAGGGCCTTTTTTTTCCAACTCTAAATTACAATGATTCGAAGTGGCCATGACTGCTTGACTATTTCCTGAAAAAAAAAAGTTAAAATTTTATTTCGTCTTATGTATCCTCATAGTATTGGTTCATTTACCATTAATTCTTTGTATTATGAAATTGCACTATCTCAATTCTCTGCTTCAACCATTAGTTTAACTGATAATTAGACCTTGGTGCAGTTCAGTTGAGCTCCTGATAGAGTCTTATGTACCATGTATTTTATAACATTTGCACAATTTTCATAAGAAATGCAAATCAAAGTTTTACAGTGCCAAGCACAGTTCTGAAAGTTGAGGACTCTTCAGAGCGAGGGAGTGAGGGCTCTGAAGTCAGCAAAATTAGAACCCATCTAAACTAATTTTTGAGTGTGTGAAGTCTCTAATAGCATAAAATTAATACACTTTCCACTGCGCACTTGAGACTCGTCACTTGGTGGTAATAATTGTGGATTTCAAGGTCCCGAAGAGGGAACTTGTCCTGTATAATTGTG